CTGGGCATGGTAGTGTGTGCCTGTAATTCCGGCTACGCAGAAGGCTCAGGTGGAAGGATCGTTGGAGCCCAGCAGGTCGAGGCTGCAGTGGCCAGGAGCAGCCATTGCACTCCAGTCTGGGTGGCAGAGTGAGACTCTAACTCAAAATAAATAAATAAATAAATAGGAACAAAATCATGAATTTTGCAGCAACCTGGATGGAAACAGAGTCTATAATACTGAGTGACCTCTCACAGAAACAAAGATCTGAGTATCACATGTTCTCACTCGTATCGTGAACCTTGAACATCTATCATAATACTATAAGAAAAGGATTGACAGTGGTGGGAAATTATGGACGGGGGAAGGGAGGGGAAGGGAGGTAGGATTAACGGTAATCAATATCTGTCTGGGGATGGGGAGACACCCCTTATTAACAAGGGTGCCTGAACAAAGCATATTTGTATACCTAACCCTTAACTGTATCCCACAATATCAAAATAAAAAATATTGGTTAAAAAAAGAAAAAGAGCACTGACCTTCCTTGCAGTTGCAATCCTACTATAACTTTGACTTCCAGAAAACTTAACTAATAATAGCCAACTATTGACTGGGAGGCTTACCAATAACAGATATTGTCAATTAACACATATTTTGTATATGTATTACAGACTATATTCTTACTTATTATAAGCTAGAAATGAGAAAATGTTATCAACAAAATCACAAGAAGGAAAAAATACATTTACAGTACTGTGCTATACAGTAAGTCTCCTACATAAGGACTTTCAAATTGCAAACTTTCAAAGACGCAAACATGTTCACATATTCAATCATATAAGTTAGTTCACTGGACTTTTGAAGTTACTGTACTGTATGATTAAAAATGTTCTCCTCATTAATTTTTTAAATGTATTATTTGTGTAAGAAAGTCATAAACCTACTTCAGTACAGTACTCTATAGCCGACTGTATTATTTAGGAACCTCGGCTACCTTTGTTGGACTTACGAACAAATTGAACTAACAAATGTGCTGTCAGAACAGACCTTGTTTGTATGTAGGGAACTTACTGTATTTCCCCATGCCATATGTTTATGTCATCAATTTAGAAGAGGAATCCTCTGTCTGAAATAGCAGGAGACTGCAGCTGGAGACCTCAGACTTGAGTACATATTCAATATTTTCTTGTAATGTTATGACTTCCCTGCTTCATGGGAGTATTCCCAGCACCACTAGTGGCACTTCATTATTCCAGGTTTACAGTATTACAGTAAACATGATGAAAAATATGTAACACTGCACAAGATCGCCTTCTACTGTGACACACAAATTACTGGCTAGGTCAACTACTCACACAAAGATGATCAGCATCACATGATGTTTTAATTGGATATCCACATCAGTTGAATTCCATGTAACAGCAACAGAAAGTGACTACACAATTATTACAATATGATAGTATGTATTACAATTTATTGTATACAATTATGACTTAATATTGCATTTTTACTTTTGTTAAGATATATATTTTCTCACAAATGGTGCCTCGTGTAGTCAGTGTTTGTGTGTATAATCTTTGATACATTTCAACTTTTAATGATAGATTTGTATATATTTTGTGGTAGTAAACAATAAAAGAATAGTATCAACATATACTTTACAAATTCATGATATATGTAATTTTTTTCTTCTTTTTTGTTTTGTTTTTTGAGCCAGAGTGTCATTCTGTGGCCCAGGCTGGAGTGTAGTGGCAAGCTCATGGCCACCGCAGCATTGACCTGCTGGGCTCAGACAATCCTTCTACCTCAGCATTCCAAGTAGCTACCAATACAGGTGTGCGCTATCACACCTGGCTAATTGTTTTTAAATATATTGTAGTGGTGAGGTCTCACTAAGTTTCCCGGGCTGGTCTTGAACCCCTAGGCTCAGGCAATCCTCTCACCATCACCTACCAAAGTGCTGGGATTACAGGCTTGAGCCACCATGCCTGGCCTAATGTTTATTCAATTCTTGATATTTCTAGGCAAAGTAGTTTGTCTGTGTTTCTTTAAATTGTTGCAAATCTCTTTTAAAGTTTCCAATATATTTATTTAAAAAAGAAAATCCATGGTCAAGCAGATTCATGCAGTTCAACCATATGCTATTCAAGGGTCAACTGTATACACAGAAGTGGCAGCAAATGGATAATACAGTATTTCTATTTTTACTTGAGGAATCACCATATATTTCTTCTTAAAGCTTGCACTAATTCACATTTGCCTAACAATGTATGAGAATTCTCCATTCTCCATATCTTTGCCAAAACATATCTTTTGTCTTTCTCAGCAATAGCCATTCTGACAGCTGTGAAGTGACATTTCATTCCGTATCAACTTGCATTTCTGCAATGATTAGTGATGTTGTTGGCAATTTGTATACTTCCTTCAGGAAATGTATATTGAGGTCCTTTGCCCATTTTAATTGGGTTATCTGTTTTAATGCAATTGAGTAATTTCATTTTCCCATACATATTGGATATCAAATCGGTATCAAATGTATGAAATGCAAATATTTTCTCAGTCTGTAGGTTGTCCCTTACTCTGTTGTTTCTTTTGCTGTGCAAAAGCATTTTCATTAGATGCTATACCACTTACCAGTTTGCTTTTTTTGCCTAAGCTTTTAACGTCAAATCCAAAATTTCATTGTCATATAGGTTTTCCCCTGTGACTGGTTCTAGTAGTTTTACATGATCATGTCTGATGTTTAAGTATTTCATACATTTTGAGTCAATTTTGGTATATAGCGTATAAATTACATCGAATTTATTCTTCTCTATGTGGATATTGTTTTTCAAACATCATTTGTCGAAAACGCTTTTTTCCCATTGTGGTCTTAGCAATTTTATCCAAAGTCAAGTGACCATACATGTATGGGTTCATTTCTGCTCCATTCTGTTCCACTGGTCAATGTATCTGTTTTTAAGCAAGTACCACCCTACTTTAATGACTATAGCTTTGTTATACAGTTTGAAATCAGACAGTGTGATGCCTCAATGTTTGTTCTTTCTATACAAGATTGCTTTGACTACAAGGAATGTCTGATTAAATAAATAAATAACAAGTTCATTTACAATGGTTGGAAATGTAAAACATAAAAGCTGCAGTAGCTTAGAACATGATAGTAAACTTAAAATGCAGATACATCATTCAACTTCATAAGGCTCCTCAATAAGATGCATCAACATTGTGTCTGTTTTGGGTTTGAACCTACAACAAATAGAACAATGGTTTTATTGTTGAAGATGAACAATAGTACACAAAGGAGATTTAAAAATGTGGCATGAACAATAGTTTAGTTGAGAGCCTCATACATTTGAGGTTGTGAACTTGAACAACGTAGTCTCTAGGAGAAATGGCTACATCACTGACAGTACAAAGGAACTGATCATTAATTAATACATGTGATCAACATTATCACAATGTGCTTGAGGAACACATCTCAAAAAGTAAAACTGGAAACACTTATCCTTCAACCTTGCCTCATAATTTCTATCCCAGTTTCCTGGGAGATGCTGATGACTCTACTCAGAGGATTTAAGTGATATCTCTGTATGTATCAGGATAATATTCAATCATATTAGCCAAAGCGTTCTCCTTCACCAATTTTATGCTACTTCATAAGAGAGTCCACTAGAAGCTATGCATAACCTAATAGTGAGCTATCACAGGAGAAAAAAATAAATGGCGTGTAAGTCCCTAGGATCACGTACATCAAAAACAAGTTTCCAAAAAAAAAAACACAAACAAGAGAACAATACCAAGAAGAGCCAAACTTTTCTAAATTCAGAGTACTAAGAGCAGTAGAAGAGAGAGAAATATATAACATGGGGGTCAAATTTTGTGGGACCTGGAGATGGGACTATCCTACAGTAAAGTGTGAAAATATAGGACACACACCGCAAGTAGGAGTGCGGAGCAAAAAGAGGGAGTTTCAGTCCACTGTCTTTACAATTATACTGAGTGAAATCTCAGGAGATCCAACCCATTCCCTTAGCACACACACACCCAGAAAGTATGGCAAAAGCAGAATGGATATAATGGCTGAGGGACCCAACAAGCAGAGGGTCCAGAGACAGCTTCATGAAGCTTCAAGGGTCTCAGATGCAAAGGAAGACATCTACCTTCCATCTCCTGAGTAGGTCTTCCAAACACATGAAATGGGATGGTACATGGATAGGTCAAGATGTCAGGCCTCTGGAGGCCTCACCACTTTTCTCTCTGGACAAAAATTGAAGCAGATTGAAGCAAAGAAGAGACCAAGGAGAAGAGGAACCCCTATGGAAGGAACCAAGAGTTCCCAGAAGCCAGAAAACAGTGATCATGATAAAGACTTTGCATGTGTTGTTTGAGCTGTAGCAACACTGGAGGGTAGAAGAATCAACCTTTAAACATCTAAAGAACAGAGTTAAGTGGGGAAAAATATTTTCCTAGCAGCAACCACAACTGATAAACTTTTTTGTCTTTCCAAAGAATTCTCCTATTTGCAGAGAGTTTCTCAAACACTCTTTAGTCAGAGGCTTTCTCTCTGCCTATCTGAGCTCTTACCTATGATCACACCTTTAATACATTCCTATCCTTTTGGTTTTCTTACTCTTTTTCTTGGCTTTCCACAGTCCAGAACTCTTTCCCTTGCTCCAAAATGGAGATAATACTCAGGTCAAAATGACATTTCTACTTATGAAAAGAAAAGAATATAATGTGCTGGGACTTTTCCAGAATTGCAGCCCTATGTTCATGTGAGAAGAGTAGATGTTACTGATGGATCTAGAAAAGTATTTCAAAAATTCAACTGAATGCTTAGGAAACACCATAATTTGCAGACATCTAGCTCTCTCTCTCTGAACCACTGAATCAAAATCTCAGGGGTAGAAAAGAGAAAACTGAGCACCTGAAGAGTTTGACACAAGGTATTATGCATGCAAAAGTTCTGAAACTCTCCAATGACATATCACAAAGGGAATAGGACATCTGAAGAAAGGAGACACAGTCCAAATTCTCCATTTATTAGGTTTTTCATTTCTGAGTTAACAGATCTTCAATCGGAATCAAGGAATGGAAAGATTAGTACACACATAAACACACACACATAAGTACACATACACACACACACACACACAAATTCAAAAGTCGCAGAATGACATGCCTTGACTTCTGGAAGAAAGTTATCTTCACCCAGGGAGATGAGATTTCTGTAGTTCTCCAGCATCACGTCCCTGTATAAAACCCTCTGAGCAGGATCTAGTCGTGCCCACTCCTCCCGAGAGAATACTGTGGCCATATGCTTGAATATCAACCGTCCCTAGAATGAAAAACACATTTCACCAAGTTACTATGGGGAGAATTAAAATTTCAAATACAATGAGAAGAGGAGAGAATGGTATGAATAGATTCAATGGAGGTGAAAGGGCAGACACATCCACGTAGTGATAATGTGACACCTGTATTTGGTCTTCATCCCCCTTTCCTGACAAGAAATCACTTAGAATCTTTGGAGGAAGAAGTATCTTTCTGTATGCTAATAGACCCACCTGCTGGTTGGTTACCAGAAAGACTAAGGCAGAGTTAGAGGGTTGGGACTTCGAGCCCCATCATTCAACACTGCATGAAGGGAAGAGGGACTCAAGGTTCAGTTGATCACCAATAGCCAATCATGCAAACAGTCACACCTACAAAATGAAGCCTCCATAAAAATAGGGGGGAAAAAAGGGTTTGGGACAGGCAAATATACAGAGGCTTCGTGAGAAAGCGGCATACCCAAAGTGGGCATGGAAGTTCAGAGCCTATTCTTCCATATCTTGCTCAATAGCTTGCCTACGCCCGGCTGTTCATGTGTAATAGTCCTTAAAATGAATGGGCAAATTTAAGTGAAGTGTTTCCTTGAGTTCTGTGAGATACTCTAGCAAATTAAATGAGCTCCAAGAGGGGGTCAAAAAATTTATGACGTATAGTCATTTAGAAACAAAGGCCACACCTGTTTGCCAGCAGCTCTGAAGTAGGTGCAGTTTTGTTGGTCTCAGGACCTATGCCTGTGGGACACTATATTCAGGTAGATAGTATCAGAACTGCATTGAATGACAGAACACCCAACTGGGTCCACTGCATAATTGCTTGCTTGGTGCGTGGTAGAAAACCTACACCTGGAATACTGGAAGTGTTCGGTGATGTGAAAATATAGTAGAAAAAAATGGAGTCTGTTTTTTCCTATATTCTTATATATAAGGTATTTTGGAGCACATTATCTTTGCCTAATTGATTTATTACTTTACCTTGATTGTGCATTTCCAAGTTTTCTGGACAATACAATAAATGCAAAATTAAAAAACCAACACAAGCTTATGTCCATAGAAATGTCAGATATTATGTCTAACACACCAGTGACATTCAGTATCTCAATGAGCTAGAACATGAGTGGTATTTTCAGAGGTGACAATGTCCACTGATGGTTTAAAGAATCTTAAAACTGTGACGACAACAGCAATAGGAATGACAGACACTTAGAACAGTGGCCATGTTTAAGGCATGATTCTAACTCCTTTAGACGTACTAACTTATATGACATAACAGCCTATCAGGGAAAGCTCTGTTCCCATCTTACTGAGGAGATAAGATTGTGTCTCCTCTATAAGAGTCACACACACTGTTAGAAACTCGCCTCAGATTAAAGAGCTAAAAATGACAGCACAAGCACCTACACTAAGCTGTCTAGGAATTAAAATTAGTTGTAAATCATCAAATAGTAAAAGGAACAGGTATGCTTTCTGAGCGAGCAGCTCAGAACTCAAGGCCCTGAATAATTCTTCTCAGAAAATACCCAGGATGTTTAAAATCTGAAAGCATTAAGCAAGGCTATATGATCAAGAACCTTCAATTTTTCATTTTACAATCCTAAGTTTTAAGAGAACAAGAGGCGTGGTGGTGTCAGTGTAGCTGTCCATGGTCCTGAAAGGGTGGTAAGTGTGAAATAATTAATTTATTAACTAATGTCTACTAAGGTCCAATGGATTGCCAATATCCTTTTGGGTAACATGTGTCATGGCTGCCCACAGCTCTTTTGTTTACCATTCTACTCTAAGTGAATAGCATATAGGTTGGTCTAAATAGTTTCTTGATTATTGAGCTGGCTAAAAAAAGTCTTGTGCTTAAAAATGTCCCAGTCCTTAAGGTGCTACACTATGAATGAATTCCATGAACTATCATGAAAACGAGGCTTAAGAAGTAAACCATAAGAAATAATCATAGCGCTGGCAGTGGTGGCTCATGCCTGTAATCCCAGAGCTCTGGGAAGTGGAGGTAAGAGGTTTGCCTGAGACTAGGAATTCGGTTCAGCCTATGCTACGTGGTGAGACTTGGTCTCTACAATAAATAAATTAGCCAAGTGTGACGGCATGCCCTGTGGTTCCAGCTACTTGGAAGGCTGACGTGGAAGGATCACTGAACCCAGAAGGTTGAGGCTGCAGTTGTCGTGAGCGAGCCACTGCACTCCAGCCTGGGAAACAGAGTGAGACTCCGACTCCAAAAAAAAAAAAATAATAATGATCAGAGAATGTAGAGTACAGTTATGTGGGGGCAGAATTGGTAACATAATATATTAATAAGGCCTAGTTCAATTCGTATTTTATGAAAAAATAGACTTTAAAATATTAGAGGCAAGCAAATTTAAACTAGAAATGGAACCAAAAGTTCAAAGATGATGAAATATTGATATTGGTTTAATGTAAACTGATGTCTAGAAGATATTGTAGAAAGTAAGGTCTGTCTCTGCACAATTTAACCCTTTGTACTCAGAGCCATCCTGTGGATCACCTATCAGCAATTTGATCACACTTTTTTCTGAATTAGCCAAAACTAATATAAAGTATTAAATAGTATAGCATTGGAAACAATTTTTTTACTATAATGATATTTGGCTAAAAATGGAATTTTGGACTAGAGGAACTTATTTATGATAAAAAATAATATCTTATATTTTTCTAAAATATGGTAATGGGTGAAACAGTCACAGAAGTGCATTGTAGGTTCACTGAGACATGTTGTGCAATAGCAATTTATTGGACATCGTCCACCTGATGTTTTTCTATTCGAGCAGACAGTACAGTCTCGTTTTGTTCTCCCCAAATTAACAATATGTAACTCATTGTCCAGTCGGTGCACCACTGTGCTTATCATATATCCTCTTTCTACATAACACCAGCTGATTTTTTTTACATATATCTCAGTATCTATTCCATCTCTTTATTTGCATTTTTACACAATTTGCATGGAAAACTTCAAGGAAACATAAATTCTTAAAAAACTTCTGCTTTCATTAGCAATCTCTTTATGTCTTCTGAGAGGGGACATCAGAGTGGTTTGCTAGATTTACGATGTTCCCTCACAGGGGACATCAGAATACAAAGGACTCAAGAAGCATAATATGGTTTGCACACATATGGAGTACATACGGCTTGCAAGGGACTTATCTCAAAGAACTCTTCTGGAGCCAAATGAGGTTATCAAAGACACCAAGCCACTTCCTTTAGTACAATGCCACACCTATACAAAGAAGTTCATGTATAAGTAGAATTTAAACACTGAATTAGGAAATTTCTCAGTGGAAACCTGCGTAGAATCAAAAGAGAGAACAAAGAAAAAAATGAATATAGGTTTTGCATAAAAATGCAAATTTCCAGATGAAGGAAAACCATCCTTAGAAGAAAGCTGATTCAATTCGGCTACAAAAAAAGAAATGTACAGAAATCAAATTATTAAAATATTTAACATAAAAATTGGAAATGTCATAAAAACTTAACTTTTGCCTTCATAAAAATGAAGAGCAGGAGATCTAGTGAACAACCCCGTTAGGTATTTGCCAGGTTGGTTCATATCAAGTATTCCTGTCAATTCTAAACACTCTACAGTGTTTAGAATGCAAAATTTAAGAGACACATCCCATGTAAGAAAGGTCCTGTTGTAGCACACAGCCCTTCAACCTCCAGGTGGACACAATAAACATGCTAGTAATCCACAGTGCACCAACGGCCTCTACCTTGTGTCACTATTGGTTGAGCCTAGGGAAAGAAAATCAACTTGTCAGGACAAGAATCTCCTCTCTTCTTGGAAGCCAAGATTTCAAGGAGATTCTTCATGGCCCATAAGATGCCAAAGGGCCTGGCATCTTTTTTAGACTCATCTAATCACTTAAAGATCTGTCTTTGTTAGAAACGGAATGATCAGTAGAAAGCATTATTGAGGAAGTGCCCAGAGATGCAGCCCAAATAAATGATGTATGTGAACCAGACTAGGAGATGGCTATGTTCATCTTGATGTTAGGATTTTTGACGTCTTGATTGTGCTTACCTGTATTATCCTATGAATGTCTTCTAATACCAGGTCCTCCAAGATAAGCTGCTCCCAGTCAGGAAGCACTGCCTCAACAGCAAAGAGTCCTGATTCCCAAACGTGGTCATGGTCACTGATTGACACATATCGAGTTCTTTTAGAGCAAGTACTGTTACCTGCTTTATATTTTCAGAGCAGATTACTACTTAATGTGTTATTGTGCTTACTCTACAAGTAGAATCCTCCCTTCTGTGACCCACTTGAGTGGGCTCTCCAAACCTTATAAGGTTGACCTTCAGGGAGGCTCACCACAAGCTGAGGGGACTTCATTTCAAAATTTGAAAAGAAACACTGAGCCAGGAGCAGTGGCTTATGCCTGCTACCCCAGCATTTTGGGAGGTTGAGGCAGGAGAATCACTTGAGCCCAGGAATTTGCGACCAGCCTAGGCAACAAAGCGAGACCTCATCTTTACAAAACATAAAAAATTAGCCAGGCGTGGTGGTATGTACCTGCAATCCCAGCTACTTGGAAAAGGTGGAAGGATTGCCTGAGCCCAGGAGGTCAAGGCTGAGGTAAACTGTGATCATGCCACTTTATTCTAGCCTCAGCAACAGAGTGAAACCCCTAACTTAAAAAAACAAAAAAAACAAACAAGAAAAATAACCCCCGCCACACACATACAAATTTAAAAATAATACATAGACCAATCATCTTTGTAAGAAATCTAGAATCCATTTAAGAGGTTGGAACTCTTAATACAAGTACAGAAGGAAAATTCAAGACACCTTTTTGTAGAGGCCTTACTCTGGCATGATGCAGTGTCAACGTGAGAAAATCACCAATTTCCAGTTTCCCCCAGGGGAGGCAAAGTGTGGGAACATCCATCTAACACTCTGAAATTTTAGGACACTGCCTGAGAGACAAGTTTCTGTCATGGTCGAATAGAAGCTCTGAAAGTAATGGGGTCTCTGAGAACAAAG